AGGATACTGGGACTGGTACAGTTCTGACACTTAACAAATTGGTAGTTTTTCTTAAGAAACTTCCAACAGCGGTAAGCCTGCACGCTATTGCTGCTTGTGGCCTTACACCCGAAGAATACAGGCTTGCTTTTATAAAAATAGATGACAAGATAACAGCAGACATGCAGGAAACTGTCATGGATGCTCATCCACAAAAGGATGAGATTGAAGCATTCTTGGCAACATCAAAATAGAGTTGCAAACTAGAGGCCTTAATAATGCTGCAATACAACTCCTGTAATAACAATAATATTAACCTGAATATACATGTAATCAACATACTGAGCAATCTCACGTGAAACATATTTTTGTTAATGTTTCCTGACAGTGGAAGATGTATATATCAATAAACAATTTCAGAATATGATTAATTTTATACATAAGTGTATCGATATGGATATTTTTTAGCACTAACTGAAACAAAGTAATCATGGTAGGGAAGGATAGTTTAAGAATATTAATGCTGAAGTTCATTTACTTATAGTATTTTTAAAGTTCTTTCATTAATTTATACAAAGATGCAATATATATTCTTTTAATATTTAACGCAACAGAGAATAATACATTATTAAGTAATTGAATAGAAAATAAAAGTTCTTGTTCACTCAAATTATGGGTAAATTGCAATGTTTACTATTTACAATGCTCATCTAACAATCTGGGTGTTTTGCTAGCTCAATAGGCCATTTTACAGTTGTCTGCTTAATGACCTGACCTTTGAACGGCAGCAAGGCTGGAGGTGACCTTGTTTTGATACAGGCCTTGCTACTTTTGTTGTGTAAATCAAGTTGTTTTTATGCTAATTAGTTGGCATCTACAAGAGAAAAGCAGAGAGGTCAGTATCAAAGCAAGGTCACCTCCAGCCTCGCTTGCATTCATGGCCAGGTAGCCAAGCATGCAACTGTAAAATGGCCTATTGCAATAGAAAACCAGATACTTGCAAAACCTCTAAACAGTTAACCTGTATTGCTTTGTAGTGTGGAGGATGATTATGGTCTGTCAGTGGACAGTTATCTTGGTGTTACAGCACTCCCATCCAGTGATGATGAATTAGAAAATGTACATCCTGACATTCTTCAAAAGTTGGACAGCCTATCAGCAAAACAGTTGATTGCAGTGGTCAGCAAGGCACTTGCCAACATCCCAGAAGACAAAATATTTGAACTATTAACTGACAGGTTGAAATCTTGCAATTATGAACTGTTGTCCAGATTTATCAACCAGTTTGTAGAAAAGCTGAATCCCTCCAACACAGAGAAGCTTCTCGATGACATGTTTCTTACTGCTGCTGTGCATAGGGGCATTATAAGCAATCCATTGTCCTTTGCAAGCACATCATTAAATGCAATGAAACTCTTGCAGGACAGCGGTAAACCAAACTTGATTTCCAAATGGAGCAGGTGCATCTGGGGACCTGACGGAAAGCCCAAATTGGATTTTGAAAGGATGCCATTTGGTCTGATTGAATATCAGATTGAGTTCTTCAGCTGTTCAAATGTCATGCAGGTAATTTTTCTCTTCTGGAATTGAACAGGTTTATGTGTACATTAACTTAGATCTATTTAATTACTACAAGCTGAAACAGTTAACAAGATGTCTGGATCCAAACATACTTGATCTGAAGTTAGATCAGCAAAAATATGGATGTAGCAATTTTGTGTTTCAGAAAATACTTATACCCCTGACACAGATCATTTTGACTTAAGTGCTGCCCTTTCTTGTATACTATCACTAAGAATTTCCAGTGACCTTTACTGGGTTGGTATTGATTTATTTTCATGAATCACTCATATGTAACAATTATTATCTTATAATGTTTGTGGCGATGTTTCTTTTTAAACCTGATTGCTGAGATTTCTTTTCATTGTTTTCAGATAACATTGCCTGAGGACTATAAGTTGTGGTTGCAGACTATGGGTACAGAGTTCCCAGAGCGTTTCAAGAGACTGTTTGCTGGACCAATGTGGAGTGGAATGAAGAAAGAAGATGTAGGAAGGCCAGATAAGGTATAGCATCTCTTTCCATGTTTGTTTATAACTTTTGGCTTTGTTTCCTATCATATTGCACATATAAACACTTAGACTGTTAAGCTCAAGATTGATTTTACCATATTGAAACTGTGACAGAGCCCCATGCCAACCAAAAATTACTAAACATTCTTACGGTTTTAGAATGATTCAAAATGATTTATCGTGTTTAACTGCAGTATGACAGTGTTTAACTGTGTCGTACTTCTTCAAAGGAATGGTGCATGTGTGATCTGGGTTATGATTAATACAATTCGTTCTAATTAACAATAGAGATTAAAAGAGGAGTTTATTAACTTGAGGATTGGATCTCTTTCTAAAACACTCTAAAAATCCTCACATTCTCTCTTTTGTGATCTAAGGCCAGGGTAAATGTTGCCTGTGTGAGTAAGACGACACAGTGGAGACATGACAGTGATTCACTTTTTACAATGGAACCTCGTTTGCAGGTAAAATGACTGATGTAATAGGAAAGTTATCACAAGTATTGTACTTTAGCAGCTTACTAGCAACATCAGTTAAGAAATAGAAAACATGTACAGTGCTTCTATCAAGTTATAGAAACGAGTGGAAGTTTTGGAGAACAAGAAATGCTGTGTGAACATGAGCCGCAGGCGGGTGTTTCCGCACCTTTTTCGAGTTCTCCCAAACTTTCATGAGTGCTTATATAACTCAATTGAAACATGGAGAACATGTTTTCTATTTCTTTTATGAAACACCACAACGAAAACAGGAAAACAACTTGTTAACTTTGATTATCAAAATGTAAATTCTCTTTGCTCACGCAATCATTACGTCAACAGCTCATGCAAATTCTATGTTTCTAGTGAGTTATAGAAACACGATTTTTAACCAATCAGCATGAGTATTTTCTTAGGACAGTTTTTTAACATGATTATGTACATTATGTACATCATTATGTAACAACATCAATATTGATAAAACCTGGAATTTTTAGTTGTGTCACCATTATCAGGGTTTGCACTTCAGATTGTGACATGTGCAAATGGGGAACATTCATTTATTTTCAAATAAATACCATTGTATGTTTGACAAATGTTTAGAGAAATAATGGTTTGTTGTCTTAAATGCAGCTTGCTGCTGTTGATCTACTCAAGTCATCCAATCCAAATGGTCGCTTTTGGATCAAGATTGATGCAACAGACATCAAGAGTTGCATCATGGAATCCCAGAAAAAGGTTTGGAATGGGGATGAGGATCTCGGAGATGGTAAGCTGGAGGCATTAAGAGACGAATACGAGGAGAGGATGGCTGACATGCACAGGCTTAAATCAAGAAATGCAGCTGAGGTGAAGGAGGTCCTTCCAAGAGTTCTTGATGCCTTCACAGATGACATAATCTTCTTGGATAAAAGCTTTAAAGAGGCATCAGACCACTTTGAGAAAAAAAGTAGACAGGCAAACTGCCCAGAGGAAACCCTGAAGGAAGCTAACTGGGAAGTGGTAGAGTACCAGATCCTATTGCAACAATCTCAAGAGCTACATCAGAACTTCGAAAATGCACTTGCTAGCCTTGCTGATATTACCCAAGCTGATGCCATTCTCCCCACGATCCACATCCTGGCAACAAGTAGCTTTGTCTATTTGAGAAGCATCTTTAAAAAGAAAAGAACAGCAGCAACGCATGTACTTGTGCTGATGCTGTCAGACGAGAGGAGAGCAAAAAAACCATATGCCCTACCAGTTTGCTATGTGCCATGCAGAACTCTGAGGGATCAGTTCATTAGACCAAGGATCTTAAACAGGAGATGAAGAAACGGGATTTATACCTTACAGGTAAGCTGATGAAGTTGTATAAACCTTTTTCTCTCTGGGAAAAGCAGCATTATACGGCAAGCTATAACAGATTACTGGCATTATTTTTGAGCCTTATCTTTGAGTATATTTTCTACTACTTTTTACCTGAAAAAGGTAAGTTCTTTTTTCCTAGAAAATAGGCTATATGAATGGTGAAAAGTAATTTCTCTGTATGATTTTTTTTTGCCCAAGGTACTGTCACTGATGGAGAGTTCTGCTCTTTGAGGTCTCAAGGTGAGACACGGCCTTTGCATCTCTGGCAGATAATTCATGATGCTAAAGAAAGTGTCAGCAAATGCAGCAAGAAAACGCTCCTTGATAAACTTGAACTGATTGGTGGTGAGTGTTTTTTTTTTAACGAATCAAAGCCAGTGTCTTGGTCAAAGACTGTTCTGAAATGTTATACTGTATTTACCTAAATATTACACTATTCTTTGATTTCTAAAACACACTACTTGTGTCCAGATGAATTCTTATTTCACTCTGATTCCGTGTAAGCGTTAAGTTGTAAGATCCCATTTCGTCACTTAAACCAATATTTCAAGTAAGCAACTTTTGTTAAGGTGCTGTACGTCATCAACAATGGAAATTGCATAGATGAATAATTAATGGTAATTTGTCTTGTCTTTTTCTTCTAACATATATGAATGCAATGAATTTTTTGTTTTTCCCAATTCATTTAGTTGATCCAGATGGGAAACCACTGACAAGGTTGCCATACACAGATATACCACATGATGTTATATCCCAGATTCATGACCTCAGATATGGTGATGAGAGAATGTCACTGGAAGATGTGGTGACCTTTGTGCGTGGCAAGCTTGTTCCAACTGGGTACAGCCCATATCCATTCAGGCGTGACACACCAGAATCACTATTGGACAAACTTCGTTCAATTGTTGCCACATTCAAATTTAGGGCAACCATTGACTACTGGAAAGAAAGAGAAGTGGACTTTTCCACTTATCTCTATATACCAGAAATTGATCCTGTGACTGGCCAGGAGAGACATGATCGTGGTGACCACAACCATCTGTTTCGTCGCGCAGCAAGCAGCATCAGACAGGGCAGAGATCCTTCTCTGAATTTTGAGGCATTTGATGATGTCCTTATGGATTCTCTCAGGTACCTTTAAAGTGCACCTAACCCCAAAATTTTTTTTTCGCTAGAACGAATCTACTTATTATTTGAAATAGTTCTGCGAAAAAATTTTTGGATTC